GAAAGAAAGTCTTTGCAAATAGCGAAGGGCGGAAGGGGTGAAGGGAGGGCAGGGGAAGGGGAAAAAAAATAAGAACCAAGATACTCATGTAATGGTACAAGATCCTAATGATGTATGTAACTATATTTTATACCTAAAATGTACCAATAAACTTAATGTGTGTGGGGGGAAGCTACACCCAAAGGGAACTCTGAAAATAAGACTTGGGCCTATATATTAAAAGAGTTCAAATTTAAAAATTGACTCAATGATAAACTTCAAGATAGTTTAGTAAAACTATTAACATAAAAGAAACATTATTAAGGACTCTAAGAAAAAACATCAACAAACATATAAAGGCAATATTAAACTAAAATCGAGCTTCTCAAAAACTAAAAAACAAGAGCAAAGAACAAAAAACAAAGTGAGGTAACAAAGGCACATTTTCAAAGTCCTCAGGAAAGAAATTGTGAGCCAAGGATTTTATATTGAGCCAAACTGTTCTTTAAATATCAAGGCTATAATAGTTATAATTTTAGTAATATTATATAGTTCTAATAATAGTAATAAACAGGCAAGAATTCACAGAAAATTTTGTAACCTTCTTGAGGAATCTGCAATGTTTCACTCAATCAAGAAATTACTATGAAAACCTGAACAGAAGGATTCATAGTGAGCATTTAATATATTTAAGTGTAGATAAAATGTGAAAAATAACAGTAGAGACAAGAGTATAAAATACATGAGGGCCAGATATTTAGCTCAGTGGTTCCGCCACATGCCACATGAGTGCAAGGATCCAAGTTTGATCCCTGGTACCACAAAGAAAAGTAATACATAAATACTGTACTTTCTGAGAAAGAAGAGATAAAGCAACTAAAAAAGGGAGGGACGGGGATTTAGCTCAGTGGCATTGTGCCTGCCTCACAACTGCAAGGTCCTGAGTTTGATCCCTTGACCGGAAAAAAAAAGAAAGGGAAAGGGGAAAGAAAAAAGCAAATATGTAAAGGTGCATATCTCCAATGATGAATGTCATTATACTGTACACCTAAAATGTACCAATAAAAGAAAAAAAAAGAATGGAAAAAGGAAAATAAGCTCAATGATTGTCTAGTTAATAGATGAGAGTTAAAAATATTATGAAAAATTAACAAACCAGATCGTGACAGGTTCATTAAGAAGGTAGAGGTCTATAAATATTAGGAAAGTTTTAAGTACAAGAGTAACACTAAATGACCTTCTTAAATAACAAGAAAACTAAAAAATAAAACATCAAAGATAATACTTCATATAGAGATGGAAATACAACAAAAATAACAATACAGCCGGGCATGGTGGTGCACGCCTGTAATCCCAGCAGTTGGGAGGCTGAGCAGAAGGACTGCTGTGAGTTCGAGGCCAGTCTGGGCTACATAGTGAGTTCAGGCCAGCCTGAACCACAAAGGGAGACCCTGCTTCAAAAAACAAACAAAAAATAATAACAATACACATAATCATGACATGAAATAATGGCTGATTTTTGACTAAATAAATCAATGATATCTATAAATGAGAATGTGTTATCTCTCTCATAAAGAAAGAAAAAGACTTTCAATTTGGTTCACAAACTCAAATCTAATTATATGCTGTGTATTTGAAACATACCAAAAATAAAATTCAGAAAAGCTAAGAAGGAGGCAAACAAAGGCATGCCAGACAAATGAAAAAAAAAAAAAAAACAGGGATGTGATACTGCTAACAGGCAATCTGAATTCAAGTGAAAAGTATTAAAAGTGACTTTTAAAAGCCATAATTCACAATGAAGATATGTGTATCTATGTACCAAATAATATAACAATTCTTAGAAATATACATGCAGACACAGAAACACACTAATAGTAGAAGGCTTTAACACAGCACCCTCCAAAACAGATCAAGTGGACCAGAATAAGTAAGGACAGAGAAGCCATAATTAATGAAATAGATCTTAGAGAAATTTACACTCTGGAAGCAGAGAAATGTCACAAAAAATCAGTAAATTTACAAAAGAAGAAATATTACAAATAATTAACAAATACTTATGAATTGATTAAATAAGATAGAAGCCCTTCCCAACTGGAAATTTAAAGTATTAGACAACGTTTGTGTGAAAGGGGTACTACAAACAGAATTAGGGAGTTTCTAAAAATTAACAATGAAAAACGTCACATCAGAAAGTACGGAATACACTTAAAGTACAGTAAGAAGAAACTTTATAACCTTAAAATACCTCACAAGATAACAAAAACAGATGAATTATTTTCCCAGCTAAAGAGCTTTTTGACAAATGTATGTCAAAATAAAGCACAAGGAACAAAATAGCAGATTTATGAGAGCTACATCGTCACCTCTAATGTTCCACAATAATGAATAATGCTTCAGTGAACAACCTTTGTACTATTAGAGATACTGCTTTTTTTTTTTTTTTGGTACCAGAGATCGAACTCAAGACCTTGGGCTTGCGAGGCAGGTGGCGGAACCACTGAGCTAAATCCTGGTCCAGAGATATTGCTTTTATGTTTTAAGAATCAGACAGAAAAAATACTAAAACTTGCATTAATGGCAATATATATATTTTTTTTGCTGTTGTTGTTTTGTTTTGTTACTGGGGATCGAACTCGGGACCTTGTGCTTGCAAGGCAGGTGGCAGAACCACTGAGCTAAATCCCCGGCCCTTAAAAACTTATTTTATAACCCAATCCATGTTAGTAAAAGATAAATCATGGAATAGATTAGAAAGACTGACAAGACTTAATAGGAAGTGCAAGATTTTCAGTAACAGGGTAGAATAAACAAGTTTATAGTAATCACTTAAAAGAAAGCAATAACCTGACATTGAAAAATTAGCAGTTATGCTTTGGATCTATTTAGAAGAAATACTGATTCTTTACACTTTTATGTGTGAACGAACATCTATTTTTATAAAAAGATGCTTTTAAAAAATCCCAATATATTCTTGTTGCTTGGCTGATTTCTGAAATATCAGTAAGGATTTTTCATTAATAGAAAAATAATGAAAAAAGAAAATGACTTTATCATAAATCACAGAAAAAAATTAGTCATGAATATTCAGTTTTGATATTTATTAATTGACAATCATGTGCCATCTTACAGTGAATGTGAAAAAATTCTAATACTTCATTCAAAAATTAAGGACCAGTACTAGCACTATGTTGTATTTTTTATGCATTATCTCATTTAATCCTTATAAACAACTGTATTTTACAGAGGACACTGAGACAAAGAGGTGTTGTGGAGCTAATGGCAAAACTGGGATTTATTACTGGGTCTGACTCTATAGCTCATAAATTCTTAAAGCTAGTACTTGTAACTGGATTTTTCTAAATGCACTATACAAAGTGGGGTGTAGGGACACACATCTGAAGTTCCAGCCTCTAGGGACACTGAAGCAGGAGGATCATTTGAGCTCAGGAGATCAAGACCTGGGCATTTTAGTGAGACTCTATCTAAAGTAAATAAATGAATGAATACACTAAGAAACCTAAATGCTTTTTAAAATGATAGGATAATAAAATTCTAGAGGAATATATTTATGAATCACATTTTAAAAGTAATGCTTCATAGCTTATCCTGAGCTCTGCTAACATTTATTGCTAATTATTTACCAGGCTGTATTACTTAACATATGTTCTTAGGCCTCACAAAAACTCGATGAAAGCCAATCGTGATGATGCACACCTGTAATCCCAGCACTCTGGGAGGCTGAGGCAGAAGGATCACAAATTTGAACCTAACCTGGGCAACTGAGGAACTTAGTAATATCCTGTCTCAACTGAAAAATAAAGAAAAGCTGGAGATATAGCTCAATTCAAAGGTCCTGGGTTCAATTCCAGTAACACACACAAACACATGCACACTAACTACGAAGTAGATAGTAGTATAACTCACACTGTACTGATGAAAATGAAACTTGAGTACAAAATATGTTCTGCCACCACCACACAACCAGGATTCAAACTCAAGTCTTCTCATCCCAGTCTTAAGGAAAACCATTATGCTACTTCCACATAAGGCAAAAAAAAAAAAAAAGTTAAAATTTTTCTTTAATCAGTAATTACTGATTCCTTTCTGGTTAAGTTTCTAAAAAAAAGGTAAGACAACTTATGAGAAATTACTGCTCCTTGACACGTAACAGGAAGAAGTGGTCATTTTTCATTCATTCAACAAATATTTACTGAACACCTAACCAGGTGACCCAGGCACTGTTCTGGGCCAGTGGTTTACAAAGAAGGCAAAGTCTTCACTCTGCAGAGTGGGGTCTATGTTTCTTCCTAAACATTTACAGAGTCTAACCATGCAAAACATTGGCAAAACTTTGCAGTTAGAAAATATTATCTGAACCATTATTTTAAGTTTAGTTCACTTGTGAGGCAGGTCATTGTATAAGCCAAGCCCTTGAATGACCCAAAGAAATTCTTCAGTTTCTCCACCAGGGATTGTATTCTAGGTAGTCCACTGAAACACATGCCTTTAGTCTCAAGAGGGAATGGAGGAATTAATCTCTTCACATCATTCCCTAGTATGAGAATCATGAAGCTATTCCATTTTCGTGGCACACTACTGTACCACACACACACACACACACACACACACACAAGAATTTCAAGTGTAGTCCTAAAGAAAGAATACTGACACAGAAAGAACCAGGACAGTACCAAGAATGATGTCTCTTAATTTAAATTATCGAGTAATAGAGTTTGCTAACAAATGCTCTACAAGCCAGCACTGAACTGTCAGGTACAACTAGTGAGTGCTTATTGCATGTGTGTGCACACAGCACTTTGTGACAGCAAGTAATGTGATTAGCAACATGTCCATATGCATCTTTAGGGAAGTACTAAGCGCTCTGAAAAGCTGAATGAATGAGTTTTCTTATTTTAAAATAAGATAAATCCTGACTCTCCATGATGCTGTGGAGATCAGCATGACAGTGCTAAAGAAATTAAAGGAAAGATAAGAAAACTTAAACACATGCATCTTACCTTTAAAGACAAGGATCTAGCTAGAAAAAAGTGGTCTACATCGATAACAGATGCCAAAAATCCAGCTAAAATTACTTCTCCAAAGTCAGTCTTCTTCTTGACTCCAGTGACTATTGCCCATGACCACATCCCAATAACAGAATGTACTGCATTATCTGAGAGGGCACGGATCCAGTCACTTTGCTGAATTATGGAAAACTGAAGAAGTCTGTCAGCGGCTAAGCAAAATATCCCTAGACCAAAGCTGGAAATAAGAGATTCAGTGCTACAAGACTGGAGTAGGGCATAAGTCTTCTCAGCCTCAGATGCCATCATAAGCAATATGTCAGTATATACTAAAAGCCATTAGGAACAATTTGTTCTTGCTTGCTTTCATTCCCAGTACCCTAAAACAGAGAGAAAAATATTAATGACGATTATAGACTACTATAATATTTAATAAAACAATGTCATCAATAATTTAAAAAATATAAAACCAAGTTGTAGAAACTAGCATCTCTTACATGTTATATACATGCCAGGTGGCCCAAGGATAATCGATTAACTCTGTAGGAATAACAATTTATAAAGTATGAGGAGAATTTCAGAAAGCCCACTGACTATAATTATTACTTTGAGGTTACCATGTCCACCATGTAATAAACATCTATTGTGTCTGTGTACTCAACGATAATTTCCTATACTCAAAAATGTCCCCTTCCTTTGGGAAAACTGCTTACCTCAATACCTAAACTTCAGATGTTCTCATTAGAGTTCCTTATCTTCCTAGTAACAGCGACTAATGTAGTAATGAGGGTCACCCAAATTGAGCCTATCACACACACTCCTTTTGAGAATTTCCCTGAGTGGAGGTGCTGAGGAAAGCTGCTTTTCTTGGAGGCCACGGACTCCAATGCATGACACAGCTTAGAAAAATAAAATCTCAGAGAGTCACAAAGAAAAAACACTAAGTGAATCATGAGGACATCAAGTCCTTGGTCCAATATCAGATTCTCAGAGCCACTCTACTTCCTGCCGTTCGCTCTTCACTTCTAAGCAAGTGCTAACCAACATTTTCTCAATAAATTTTCTATTCATTTGTTCCCTTGATATTAAATGGCAAGAACAATTGTGTTTAGTCCTTACCTGGTAAAGACTATTGAAATTATTTGTCCAGTTAAAGTTATCAATATTGTATAATACTCAAAGTTTTTTGTTTAGTATTATTTGGTTTTAATTCAGAGACTAAAGAATAACTAAATGACTTTAATAAATAAATAAATAGCTTTATTGAAAGTGACTCAACTTCCATTCTACACTAAAATTCTTACACAGCTCATTATATACATTCTAAAATTAATATAAAAATATAAAAGATCTAGCCTAAGAAAGCAACATCAGAGAAAGAGGAACTAAGTTGGGGAACTTAGACTATCTGATTTCAAGTCTTTCTTTTTTTTTGGTACCAGGGATCAAACTCAGGACCTTGTGCCTTATGAGGCAGGCGCAGGCACCACTGAGCCAAATCCCCAGCCCTGATTTCAAGTCTTATTACAAAGCTATAGTAATCAAGACAATGTGGTACTGGTATAAAGATTGGCAGATGAGTCGATGCAACAAAATTGAGGGGAACAGGAGACAGATCAAAACATACATGGCTAATTAGTTTTGTGGGGGTTTTTTTGGTACCGGGGATCAAACTCAGGTCTTGTTGCTTGTGCAGCAGGCGGCAAAACCACTGAGCTAAATCCCCGGCGACCCACTAATTAGTTTTTGAAAAGGTAAGTTAACAGAGAAAGAATATTCTTTGCAACAAATAGTGCTAGAATAACTGGAGATCCATATGCAAAAATAATGAACTTCAGAGCTGGGTGTGGTGGTGCATGCCTGCAATATCAGTACTTGGGAGGCTGAGGCAAGAAAACTGAAGCAACTTTGAGGCCAGCCTGCACTACAAAAACAAACAAATAAAAAGACTTCAATCTGTAACTTACTCCATATGGAAAAATTATCTCAGAATAAATCACATATGTAAATGTAAAACATAAAACTATAAAATTTCTGGAAGAAAACAGAATACTGTTTGTGCCCTTGGATTATTTAGACTTCTTAGATACAATATGAAAACCCTGATCTAATAAAAAAATTGACAAACTGAACTTATAAAAATAAAGAACTTCTGTTCTTTAAAGACAATGTTAAGAGAATGAAAAATAAGCCACAAAAAATATTTGCAAAGTTTATATCTGGTAAGTGCCTTATTTCCAAAATAATTCTGAAAACATAATGTTAGAAAAACAAGCAAACCAATACAAAAATGGGCAAAAGACTTCAAAAGCACTTTACCAAAGATGATATGTAGATAGCTAATATACAAACAAAATACCATCATCATATATATTAGAAAAATGCAAATTATAATCACAAATGTGCTATCAAGCTCACCTATTTGAATGGCTTAAAGACAGTGGATCCTAAGTGCTGACGATGTGGAGCAACTAGAACTCTCATATACTGCTGGTGCCAAAGAAAAACGGCATGATCAGTTGGAAAAATAGTTATCCAAATTCTCAAAGAGTTAAATATTCCTACCATATGATCCAGTCATACATTTTGACATATTCTCAAGAGAAATGAAGGCATAGGTGTACCCAAAAACTTGTGATAGCTCCCTTATCTGCATTATCTCTGAATTAGAAACAATCCAAAAGTTCATCAACACATGAATGAACAAAATGTGGAAAAAGCCAAAAAAGTAATGTACATAAAATATGGATGAATTTCAATTATACTAAATAAAAGAAACTAAAATAAACAAAAAAGAATGTATTTAAAGCTCCCAGAACTATACAACACAAAAGACAACCCTGATGTAAACTATGGACTTTACACAATAATAATGTATCAATATCGGTTCATGAATTGTTAACAAAAGAGTACCATACCAAAGCAAATATTAATAATATGGGGTGCCTGGGCACTATAGTGCTTGCTTGGCATTCCAGCTGCTTAGGAGCCGAAGCAAGAGGCAGCCAGGGGAATTTCGACCCTATTTCATAATTTAAAAAAAAAACTGAACAGGTGGGATATACCTGAGTGACAGAGCATTTACCAAGAATGCACAAGTCTCTGAGTTCAATCCTTAGTACCACAAAAAATAACAGTAACAATAATGGGGAAATGTGTGGAGGCAGAAAGTATACGTAAACTTCCTATAAGCCTGCTCAATTTTTCTGTGCACCTAAAATTGTTGCTTAGGTTTATAAAGTCTACTGATTTTTAAAAAATGAAGTCTTGTTAATTAAAAATGTAATGAAACATATTTGGATGCATACTGTAATTTTTTTTCTTTTTTGTGATACCAGGGAATTCAGAGCCTTGCACATATTGGGCCTGGTGTAATTGTTAAATCTAGGCGATGGGTGTAATGTAGTTCATTATACTGTTTTCCACTTTTCTGTATGTTTGAAGTTTTCACTTAGGAAAATTTTTTTTAAAGAATGCATAGTATGATTCCATTTATATAAAATTCTAGAAAGTGTAAACTAACCTGTAGTGACAAAAAGATTAGTGGTTGACTAGGGACAGGAGAAGATGCAAAAGGAAACTCAGGTGATTTATACACTCATTATCTTGATGGTGGTAACAATTTCTGGGTTCACAGCTTCATACACATGTCAAAATTCATCAAATTGTGTATTTTAAGTATACAGTTAATTAGTCAATTATATTCCAATAAAGATTTTTAAAAGTTAGGAAAACATGCTTTATTGATAATAAAAACAGCATGCTTCCACGGGAAAAGGACAACCTGAAGTCAAGAGATTATAGAGAAGAAAGGCTTGGTTGCCCAACTAAAAAGTTAACAAAATCAATCCATAATAGAATAAATGCTCCAAAAAACATTAGCAAATAACACTTTCAAATAATTCTTCCAAAGCTTAGTAGAAAAATAAAAGACAAAGAATTAAGCACTGAAAGAAAAAAAATAAATTCCAAAAATAAACAAAATCCTTAGAGTTTCCAAGTTAACAATTATCCGGATAGAGAGAGGGAGAAGGAGAGAGGAGTGTTAGCACAGTAACATTTACAGAGCTCTGAGAGAAAAGGATCACAACTGCGGGACTCCAAACATAGCTACATTATGTCACTTGTATGGCAATCATGAATTTTAAAAGTTGTCTTTAGCCCTGTATGATTTCAGGGGGGAGGGAAGACTGAGGAACAGAAGTTCTAAATCTGGGGGTGGGGCGCAAATAAAGAAAACTTGATCAGTATTGAAAAACAGAAATGGGCAAAAAAGGAAAGAAGAAATCCTATTTTCTGTCTTCTCCCCCCCCCCAAAATCTAAACATATAAAAAACAAATACTATAATAAACGTGTTAAATTTCTCCATAATGAGACAATCAGACTGAGTCTAAAGGAAATATCCATTGTATTGCTATTTATAAGAAAACACTTGAAACAAGAAATCTTAATAATATATAAAATAAAGACATGAGAAAATATATGCCTAGAAAATACAAACAAAATAAAGCAACAGTGGTAATAGTAATATCAAACATAATGCAAGGCAGAAATGACCAAGTAGGACTAAAGGATAACATTAACATCATAGTAACAAGGCTATATAAATTATATATGAAGAGGTTCACCTGTCAATATAGCAGTAAAATATATAAATCAAGTAGTCAAAAAAGGCAGAGATAATCTGAATAATATAATTAAAAACTTTATTTCATAGTCACATATAGAGCTTTTTATGCTATAAAGAATACAAATTCATTTCAAATGTCCATGGAACATTATAAAAGTTAACCACACATTTCCTCAGCCACAAGAAAAGTTCCAGAAAAATCAAAAGGGGAAATACACAGGTGAAATTCTCTAACCACATGTAATATAAATAAGCACAATAAAAATCATCACTTTTTAACAAAAAGAAAAATGTACTAGCCTATGTAGCACAAAGAAACTAAGCTTAACCAGGGATGCAAGTGATACTACTAGACAAAAAAGACTTATTTTTCAAGTGCTTATTCTCTAAAACATTTCAGAAAATAAAACGAAACCTCAGAGACCAAGGACTTTATCTCATTTGATCGCTACTATATCCTCAGCACATAGTTGGTGCTAAGTAATATTCACTGAATGAATGAAATTTCAGTATATACTACATCTGATATGCAAGAGGTATTATATATTAAACACAGCAGTTAAACAGCATTTAGTAAAATACAACATCTATTCTTGGGAATTTGATTTTTAGCAAGTCTATATGCCAGGTAATTCTTTTGGTTCACTAAACACCAAGAGCTATTAGTTTACCAAAAATGATGAAACCACTTGGATTAGAAAGCAAATTGATGAAAAGCTAAAAGCATT